ACAATAGAGATGGGTTGAGCGACATTTGGAGATCTCACCTAAATAAAGTCACGGTTCTATACAATTAGTAGCCATCGGAGCACCCCAAAAAAAGACAAAACACTCTGGAGTAAACCAAATATTACCACGAATGGATTTCAATGCCAATTTGGGTGAACTGCGTAACTTCTATCTGCCGGGTGGTTTAATGTCGGAGTCGCTCAAGGAGACTGCGTGCCCTCACAGCGCTGCGCCACGAAAATAATACTTCGTCGCAACGAGTGCGGTTTCTGACGAGCCATTGGCAAGGGTCGCTTCGAGTGTTCTGCCGCCGTACATCTCCACGCGATGAGCGACTTTGTCGAGCCGCCATTTGTGGCCCGGTCGCTTCTGGGAAAAAAATAAAATGAGGCTGTAATAGCCCGGTGGGCTTTACATGGTACGATTTAAAAACAATAAATATTTGTTTAGTTGAATTTAAAGTGATTACCTTTCCTGTATCGTGTATATAAAAAGTGCCGGTTAAACCCGCCACCACCCGACAGCCAATCAGTAAGGTCTGTCACGTAAACATGCCAATTCGTGACTAGTACAGCACAACGTTGTGTTGGAGAGTAAAGTCACAACATTTACAATATGATCTTTCCTATACTTTGCACTCCTATCGTGCTTTTGTAATGTTTGTTGTTGCAACGTTTTGATCCGCCCCAAACTGGACATCTGTGAATAAGAGCTTTACATCTAATCGGATTCCTCCATTATGAATAAATATTTCTGCAGGGTGAAGGTGCGTCTCACCGCAGACTGTCCGCTTGTGACGAGGTGTAAAACCAAATATCTGAATTTACTCTTCACTTTTATGAACATGCTTTATGAAAGCAACAGCTGCAGTCAAGAGGAACGCGTGTTGTAATCTGCGGTTGTGAACACATGTCGAGGCCAATGTTGAGAAAATGTGGTCATGACCAGGGGAAATGTATATATATATTTTTTAAACTTCTAAATCGGATATTGAAGTTTCAATCGTCTCAAAAGCAGCTTTTGTTGGGGCTGCAACATTGACGATTGTTCAAAAATGAACCCCTGCCCACGACCAATCGTTATTGGGGGGGATGAAAATCGATTGTTACAGTCGTGATATCTGCATCAAATTGAATATGAATTACTATTTATTCCACTATTTTCATTTTACTAGGTAACGCCCACGGAGCAATATAGCTCTTTTTTCAGAAGCGGCCTGGCCACAAATTATAGCTCAATGAAGTAGCTTATCGTCGTGTGTAAATGTTTCGCAGCAGCCAAAGACTTTAAACGCGTGATGGTGATTCTAAATGTGGAGGGGAAAAACCGGAGGAATCGGAGGAAAATCTACGTGATCACGGGAAGGGATACATGGAGATTCCAAATATACAGCAGGCGTCAGGGTTGAGATCGAACCCAGGACCTCCTGTGTACCAGGCGAGGTATGTATGCTGTATTGCCAGGAGCAATTGGGATAGTGAATCGGTCTGTGTTGACCTTTATGTGTTATTCCCCACAACGTGAGAGTCACCTCCGAGTAGCAGTCAGTTTTTTTTCCCGCTAACACGTGAAAAAATAAACCTTCATGAAAACGGAATTGGCCTAACATCCAAATGTAGGAGGACCCTAATGAAAATAATATTTGGACTTAGACGAGGCCTTCATTGACAACGGAATTCTATCGTTGTTATCACTGGGTGGACCCATTGACTCACTATATTTCAGAGCGTGATCGAATCACACAGCTGTCCGCATACTGGATCCATTCCCCGGGTCTCAGCAGTGGCAGCGCGGCGTCTTTGGCGCAGCAATTACGCGCGCATGTTGCACTTCTTTCACACGGAAGCCATCCGCGCTAATCGCAGTGTGTGCGGGAAATCGGAGGCACAGACCCGCGCCTCCTCTGGGAACAATACAAAAAAAGGTCTGAAATGCTCTGCAGTTGAGGTGACCAAGAGGCTCACAGGTCAGAATCCGGGTTTCAGCCTCCTGCGAATATGCCGCGTGTCTCAAATGCCGTGAGTTTATTGTCTCAGCCCCGGCACCAAATAATGACTGCACGCGAATAAAAAAAAACACGTGTAGTTTTCCACTTGATTTGCGATCACATTTGTGCCCCTAATATCATGAAACTTTTTAAATATAAGTTTTGTTTTTAGCCATGGGGACTCTCTGATGATGGATCATCTGATGATGGACTCCTGATGATGGTCCCTCTGATGATGGATCATCTGATGATGGATCATCTGATGATGGACCTCTGATGATGGATCACCTGATGATTGGCCCTCTGATGATGGATCATCTGATGATGGATCATCTGATGATGGACCTCTGATGATGGATCACCTGATGATTGGCCCTCTGATGATGGATCATCTGATGATGGATCATCTGATGATGGACCTCTGATGATGGATCACCTGATGATTGGTCCTCTGATGATTGGCCCTCTGATGATGGATCATCTGATGATGGACCTCTGATGATGGATCATCTGATGATTGGTCCTCTGATGATTGGCCCTCTGATGATGGGCCCTCTGATGATGGATCATCTGATGATGGATCATCTGATGATGGACCTCTGATGATGGATCACCCGATGATTGGCCCTCTGATGATGGGCCCTCTGATGATGGATCATCTGATAATGGCTCCTCTGATGATGGGCCCTCTGATGATGGATCATCTGATGATGGCTCCTCTGATGATGGATCCTCTGATGATGGATCCTCTGATGATGGATATCTGATGATGGACCTCTGATGATGGACCTCTGATGATGGACTCCTGATGATGGGCCTCTGATGATGGATCCTCTGATGATGGACCTCTGATGATGGACCTCTGATGATGGCTCTTCTGATGATGGACCTCTGATGATGGACCTCTGATGATGGACTCCTGATGATGGACCTCTGATGTTGGATCTCTGATGATGGACTCCTGATGATGGATCCTCTGATGATGGACCTCTGATGATGGACTCCTGATGATGGGCCTCTGATGATGGACCTCTGATGATGGACCTCTGATGATAGACCTCTGATGATGGACTCCTGATGATGGATCCTCTGATGTTGGATCTCTGATGATGGACTCCTGATGACTGACCCTCTGATGATGGATTCCTGGTGATGGTCCCTCTGATGATGGAACACAAATGACGGACCCTGATGATGAAACCCCCTCTCCCTATGCGGCAATGGGCGTCTCGGCACCGGCGTGCACGTGAGGGCGATGACTGCTGCCGGCGGTGATCCCGCTCGAGTCATTTGGCCAAATCCCAGCTGCGAGGAGGGGAAATTTACAAAAAGGGAGGAGCGCGCGGAGCGTTTGGGGAGAGGCCCTGCGGCCCTTCCCCCGACGCCTGTGGGTTCAGTCCAAATTGATTCTCCATCTCGTGACGGTCACCGCTCGCTCCTTTTTGTGGTTTTATCGGCGAGAAAGCCAGAGCACCCAACGATGTCACGTTTTCTTTTTTTCTTTTTCAGGAAGACCACAATCGGTGGCGTTGTTAGGTAGGATTCCAAATACGGTGGGGAGGGGGGTGGGTGTCGTTGTGTATGAATGAACGTTACCCTCGGCTGTTCCAGCAGAGGGCACAACAGCCACGCGCATGCATGCCGGTGGTCAGTGAGAGAATATGAACGCGCTCTGTGCGTATACTGCAGGTCATCTTCATCATCATCAGACATGTTCTATCCACTGCATTGTCACCCCACCCCCGCATTGCTCGCGGTAGCCTGCGATGGCACAATCCATCTCAACGGCTGCGCATCAGCGGCTCTCATCCACGCTCCCTTCTCGTTTGGCTGCCGTTCCCGTCTACCGATGTGCCCTGCTCAATGCCCACCACGCTCACTTTGCCTTCACACGCCACGCGAACTCCCTGAATTGCAGTCGCATGCATCGCTCTACGTTCCTTTGGGCACTGTTACGTTTTTATTCCATTTTCCAGTTATCCGATTAGTAGCCGGTAATTATAATAACTTCAGGACGCTGCGAGGTTATGCCCCCAATCTTAGGTAAACTCAACCTTGATTTTTATTTTACGAGGTAAGGCCCACTGAGCCTATCTCGCTATTTTATCAGAAGCGACCTGGCCACAAATGATAGCTCAACGAAGTGGCTTATCATCATGTGGACATTTATCGCAGCCAATTGCTCTCAAAGCGTGCTTATTCTGAATGTGGAGTGAAAAACCGGAGGACCGGGAGAAAAATCCACACGACCACGGGAGAGAGAGAACAAATATACAGGTGTCAAGGTCGAGATCGAAACCGCGACCTCCTGCATACCAGGCGAGGTAGTTAACATCTCCTAGCCACCGTGGATTAATGAGGAAAGTTTCTAAAACACGCCCCCTCCCTGGCGCCCTCTGTCCAACCAGCAATATAAATCTATTTAAGGAAAACAGTTATAAAACATAATAGGGTTTTTTCCCCTTTTTTCTGGACGCAAAAGGCGTCATCTGGTTGAGCACCAATTGGGTCGAGGCTAAAATGAAAGCCGTCCCTTGGTGTGGACCAATCAGTTTCAAGGACAATGCATATATTATCATAGTATGTTTTTTTTTGCATTTTGACTGCAGGTATTGTGGTTAATGCAGACATGAATCCACGTAAAAAGGTTTCAGTTTTGTTGCCAGAAAAAAGGGGAAAACCCCTATTGTTATATTTTTGTACTAGCAAAAGGGATCTAATGAAGTTTTAAAACAGTTTAGAATCCAGCTGGCACGCCAGGACATCGAATTGAACCGACGACCCTCTGGATGGTAAGTCCAGTTTACCAAACCATTGCAACGCCGTGGCAGCAGCATCTGCAAGGGGGATTCGTGCGAATCAAAGCTTCTGGGCCATTAGGTACAGGTGGCGGAAGAGGAGGAGGAGCAGGAGGACGAGGAGGAGGCAAGTTTGGCGTCGTTGCCTTCCTGGTCACTCTTCGCGTTTCCCAAATCTCCCGGCAACCTCCAGGGACCCCCGAGGCTCTACTCACACGCGGTGGGACACTCGAGGTCCCTGGCGGGCGGAGTGGTGGGCGCCACCGCAGGCCACCCAGTGGGCACCGGCTTCGTCGTCTTCTTCTTCAGCGTTCCTTCATCTACTCCTCCTCCACCTCGCCTCCATCCTGAGGTCGGCGGCATCTGAGAAGTTCTGCTCGCCGAGCTGGGCCGCATTGGCGAAATGCCGTCACCACCACCAACGCCACCAATGCCACCAACGCCCGCCTGCACCACCGTTCGCCTCCCGCCGCTCGGCTGCGTTGTTCTTATCCCCTCCTTGCCATGGCCGGGGTGGTGGTGGTGGTGGTCGTGATTAGAGCCGTCGTCCGGTCCCTTGGTCGGTGCAGTGTGGCTCAAGGTTGGGTCATTGTCGTGGGAGAGGTCTGGCTGAAGGAGCTGTCCATCGGCTGCTTGTGAACGAAGCTGCTTGTCTGTCTGATTGCTCGCGGGGTTGATGGTGATGTTGGCCATGGTGGTGATGTTGGCCGTGGTGGTTGTGGTGGTGTTTGCCATGGTGGAGTTGGCGATGCTGGTCGCTGTGATCGTGTGAGGCCTTCCGGCTCCCCTCGTCGAACCCGTCCAGTTTGTCGTGACGAGGTCACTGCTGCTGCTGTCACCACCACCATGACTATCGTCATCGTCGTCATCATCGTCACCACTGCCATTTCCATAATCGTCGCCGCCGCTAAGATCGCTCGTTGATGGCCCCGATGATGATGATGACGACGACGATGATGGTGGTGATGATGACGACGATGATGGTGATGATGATGATGACGAAGATGATGGTGATGATGATGACGACGACGATGGTGATGATGACGACGATGGTGGCAGCGATGCCTGTGACGGCACCGCCTGCCCCGCGGTCCGTTCCACCGGATGCGCCGTGGTCCCCGTTTGACCGGGACTCGAACCTGTGCCCGAGTCCCTCGCCGTCGCCGCGGAGTCGACGGCGCGCCCCGCCTCGCCGTGGCGGGGGCACGCGGGCGGCCCGCACGCCAGGTCCCTCCCGGGGTCGTCGAACGGGCAGCTCGAGTCGAGCGCCCGCGACGCCGCCTCCATGTCGGAGCGCAGGCGCGAGAAGAAGTTCCGCTGTGGAATGGAGGAGGAGCGCGTGCACCCCAGCGGCAAGCCCTGCGCTCGCGCAACGTGTTGGGGTGGGGGGCGGGTAGAGGGGCCGGCGGGCAACGCGTGTGAAGGGGGGGGGGGGGGGGTTTGTTTATCGTCATCATCGTCGTCGTCAACAACATCAATCGCCGTCCTCATCGTCGTCGTCATTGACGTCAACTCCAGCCACCGTGGTGTCAGGACCAGTTTAAGCATCATCCAGACCACCACCACCACCACCGATTAGTACGGTGGGCTATGTACGGTGTGAAAGAAGTCCAACACAGGATACATACACCGAGACGAGAATTGTTAGTGCCATTATCAGAAGCAGCTATCCAGTGATGCATTAGCGATAGCAGAAGCATCAGCAGATGCGACGGCGATATCTGATCATTATAATCATTCATCAAGCAGCAGTGGCATCAGCAGTAGCCAGGAACAGCATCCACAATGTGAGTGAGCACATCAGTAGCGTTCATCATCATCGATAATCGGCAGCAGCGTCTGCATCCTGAGCATCATCAACATAATCATCACCAGTAATTTCAGCAGTAATCCGACGGTGATGATAATGACGACGACGATAATGATACCATAATTATTTATATTTATAAGGCACCCTTAACGGATGCCAGAGCGCCGTGCATGTAAATGCGGACCTTGAGTGAGAGGTAACCGGGGGGAGAGAGAGAGAGAGGGAGACTAAAGAGACACAGATAGAGAACGAGAGAGAGAGAGGCCGTGTTAAACACGTGGTGGGGTCTTCTTACTCATCTCTGAGGACAGGGAATTCCAGAGCCTGGGTACTGTGCGGACAATTGTCCGGTGGTCAACCCACGTTCGATGCTTGGAGTGCGTTCACGCTGAGTACAGGGGGCATCATCGGTAGCTCTCAATGATTGTCGATGATGATGACGATGATGCCATTTATAATGATTTTCATTGATAAACATGGTGATCAGTGTCATGCTGATGATGATTTCGTTGATGATGATGATAATGTTCACATTTATGACATTGCTCGCGGTGACGATTGGAGTCATCACGAGGATGACGACTCCATGATGATGATCACGACAGTAACATTCATGACGATGGCGACGATATTCATGTTCAGCGATGGGCCGCCGAGCGTACGCTGAAGTGCACGTATCCGTAGAAGGCGAGGCTGCTGAGCAGGGTGCGCGTGCTGTTGTAGATCAGCGTGCGCTCCTCCACGTTCTCCTGAAGCCTCTGCAGGGTGGGCCGCAGCACCAGCAGGGCCCTCAGCGCCCTGCACACATCCTGCACAAGCCAGACAGACGTGGGGGGGGGGGGGGTGGAGGGGGGCGGGGGGTAAGGTCTAAAGGTGGCCGACACAGGACGGGATGACCCGCCCCTACTGGACGTCTGTGAAGAAGAGCTTCATAGCTCATCGGATTCCTCCAGGATGGATAAAGACTCTGATTATAATAAGGTGGCATCGCGGTGGTGACTGACACTTGTGCTTCAAGGCAAGGAATACCTGGGTTCGATTTCCAACTCGAGTTGGTATGATCTCTCCCCAGTGCTGCGTGGATTTCCCCGGGGGTTCTTCGCTTTGCTTTCTGGTATACTGTAACAAGCCTAGCTGCATCTTGATTATATATTTTTTTAAATAATCATTACGTTGCTTGTTTGCCCAGAAAAGCCTCACTGCGTCTTTTTTCAGGGGGGTCCTGCCAACTGTTCGCAGTAGGAGGGAGCGATGTTGCTTCTGGGCGTGATCCCAATTGAGTAATCCAATAACAAAACCATTATATTGTTTCCATAGCTAGTAAATAAAATAATTATTACCATGAATGGGCAAATGAAATAAAAAAGCACAACTGCACAAATGAGACAGAGGAAACCAGAACCGATATAACCGAGACATCAAAAAATGAGACGAATGGGGAATGCATGATTTTTTGTTTTTATAACATCGAAGCGCTGAATTGCGACCAATCACGGGTTCGCTGATCCTGCAGATCACTGCATGGCTCTACTATCCCATCCTCCCACTTGTCTCGTGTCGTACTTGCCTGGAACAATCTGGCCGTGCACCAGCGCTGGCTCAAGCAAGCCTGGCTCTGCTGATGAGACACTGCATGTCGAAACCAGCCCAGAGAGTTTGCGTGTGTCGAACCAATTGCTGCTGAAATTACGCACTTTCAAGGGGGACCCTTGTAGGATTGTTGTGGTGTATGGGTCTTGTGGGCAACTGGTGGCTCTTGGGCATGAGCTTGTGACGAGGCTATGCCCGTGTAGCGTCATGAGATGTGGCCGCCTGCAGCGATTCTGTAAATCCATGTTACCTTGCAATTGTTACGCGAGCATTGCGTTCACACGCGACACATCGAGGGCAATAATAAAGCCAGCGGGAATAATGAGCTCAAATTGGCATTGGCTCGGCTGCAGGTTCCGAGGCGGGGGTGGTGGGTGGCATGTGGGGGGGGGGGGGGGGGAGGGTGAATATGAGAATTCATTAGCCACAGTCCACGTTAGCGGAGTGTGCTGGGGCATATGGCCGGGTCGCTGGAGGGAGAGCAGTTGGACTGAGCCTTTGGAAGATGATGGACAGGGCGGACAAATAGATGTACAATTGGATAGACTGATACGTGAAAGGGGCTGATGAATGAGTGGATGCACGCGAAGGCATATGAGGCGTGGATTGAAAAGTTTGATAGACCGATATTTGGATGAGCGGGCAATGACGGATAGAGAGTCCGATGGACGGATGAACAGACTGGTCCACCAAGAGGCGTATACGGTTAAGGATGGACATGCTTGATGGACAATCTACTGGTCATACTGACGGGTGGACGTACTGACAGACAGATGGATAGGCTGATAGATTATTCAAGACGAGGACAGACGGTCAGACCCATTCATAATGTGGCAGATGGCCAGATTCGCGGATGAGCAGACGTGAAAAAAGGGTCGGCCTTAAGTATGAACGAACAGCCTCTTGACGCACGGAGGCAACGGCCGGACAGACACACAGACATTTGACGCACGGGGCGCGGGCGGGAGGCCAAGCAGCCCGGCACGGCAAGCCCCGCGAAATCCCTTTTGCGGAACTTCGTGAAGAAATCCCGTAAGCTGCTAATAGCCTGCTCTCCGCCGCATTATCCCCCGTTCCCTAAGCCCGGACATCGGCCCAGGCAATCCATACGAATCAAGGGTGGACGGCGTGCGTTGCGCGCGATCGCGGTGCCCCCAAGAGCCGGGTCGCGAGCACCCCTGGGGCGGCTGGCGGCCGAGGGGGCACCGCGTAGACGGGAGAGTGGCGGAGGCAGCGAACCCCCACCCCAACCCCCACCCGCGCTACTGCCCCTCTGTCATCGCTGCTACGACTAGACCCACGCTATGGGCCACGTGGATGGCCTCTAATTGGTGGTGGAACGCCGTGGTGGGGCGGGCAGGGGGGGAGAGCTGCAAGGGGATGGGTGCTCTCTGATCAGATCATCTCCTCAATTCCCGCGCTCTGAGGAGCCTAGGGCAGGAAAATTGGATCGGCGGCCATAGCGGTTGCCCACCCATAATCCACAGCCTTACAGGATGGGGGTTTGCGGATCACGCGGAGATCAGCGTGTGATTCCAAGGGGGGGGTGGGGGCGGCTCAGCGGGGTGGGAGGGCGGGGGGCGGGGTGGGGTGGGAGGATAGACGGGGGGGGAGGGGTGTAACGAACTTGAGTTGGGGTTGAGGGGTGGCGAGTCGGGGTTAAGTAGGGCTGTATGGGCAGGTGTTGATGTGGTGGTCTGTCGGTGATGATGTGGTCATGAGGTGGTGGCGACGTGGTGATGATGCCGTGGTGACAATGCGGTGGTGATGCGGTAATGATGTGGTTACTTAGAGGGGGTTGAGGTGTGTGTTCAGCACGAATTGAATTGAGGTTGGGTAGGCGGTGGGTATGTGACCGTGTCGAGGTTGAGTCGAGCTGGAGTGGGGGTTTGGGGGGGCGGCGGGGCGGGTGAGCCGTGGTTGACTCCACTGTCCATCTCCGCTACCTTCTCCATGACGCCGGGGTGGACGGAGAGCGCCGTCACAACGTAGTCTCGAGGCAGGTTGTTGCTCTGCGCACGCGGGCACCACACACACACGGCAGGGGCGTCACTGCGGAGTGACTCACGCACGCACGCACAGACCCCCAGTGTGGGTAATGCGACACCGGGAGCGGTGGCGCACCGGTTAGCGCGTTTCGCTACGAACCCGGTGACCCGAGGAGCAATAACAGTGGTGAATGTTTGAACCGCTCCTGGGCCTCCCCGAAGTCGACTCAGCCTTGCTTCGACGTGTAAACATAAACATCGGCATTGGTTGCGTTATTCTTTTTATATATAGGTTAAATTCAACGACGAAAAAATAAAACGTAGACTGCGCCATGAACCCCATAAACCGGAGTCGGATTCTCGGCCACAGCTAAAATGTCAGTGGCGAGCGACATCCAATCCCACCGCCTGTTTCACCCAAACTGCGCTGACCGGCGTGGTGAAGTATGGTCAAGCAACCCGCACAACCGACACGGCATGGGGACGTCTTCGTCCAGCAGTGCATCAACAAACGGGGCTGAAAGTCATCGCTGTTGTTTATTTATTTTCTAAACAAATGCAGAAATAATATTTTATTCGTCCCTTTCATTCTATAGAATTGTCTCTTTTTATGTTTGAGCATCAACTGTGATGGTGACGCTTTGAGTGGCAGCTTTGAGCCAGAAAGGCGCCGCACGTGCTTGACGCGAGATCCCATGAGCACGGTTGGCTACGTACAGCGCGAAAGAAGTTCAGCATGCGACACGTAGAACAAGCAAATCTACTTTACTGTTCAGCCGTCGCGGCAAGCGCTGGTAGCGAGCATCCATTCACTGAGGTATGGCAAATAGACGACGCATGACGCCGCGGCCGCCTTTGTCTTCCCCCACAGTGCTCACGTGACAACAACGTTGATCCAGCTGATATATAGATTCACTACCAGAATGCAGTGTGGCGGATGAGGATATTGAAAGAAAGTCCTTTTCAGTTTTTGTTTTACGTGGAGGTCCAGATATGTGAGGGAGGCGTATATACGTCCGCGGATGTGTTCTATGGCTTCTCTTCTGCACAACGACGCTGATAAATATTTCAGGTCGAGGTGACCTAGGGGAGGCACGAGCCAGGATCAGGTGCCAATGAGTGCAGCCAGCATGGCCAAGTTCAGCTGCTCGCTCCCCCAAAGACAAAGCTCCCCCCCCCCCCCGGTGTAGCCTTCACAGGCCGTTGGGGCAAGTGCTGCTAGCAGAGCACCACCCGGTGGCCACGCGCCGGGTGTGGGATTCATCCTCGAGCCGGAGCCAGATGTGCAACGACAGACTTAGAGCATCGTTGTCCTCAAGAGGGGCGACCGCGAGGGATCAGCGGTGCAGCACGCGATGGACTGTCCTCGTAAAAGTTTGCCCAATGACAAATTTTGGAGAATTTTAGAAAAAAGCAACGTGCAAATGCGGCCCCCAAAATGCCTCCCACTTGGATTTTAAAAACAACATTCAGAGATTTTAACAAACGCACGCACGCACGCGTTGGAATGCATTTTCCCCGCATGATGATGTTCAACAGCAGCTCAAAAACACAAAAGCTTTCACATCCAAACTCGCTCGATTATGTACACACTCTCACCACGTGTATACTAACACTCACAAACATACTAACACTCACAAACACACAGACTGCCCCCCTATGCAAACACTCCTGTAAACCCCTCGCATCCACATCCATTCACACGGCACACACGCACGCATGCTACATGCGTGTTTCTTTCTTAAGACCCACCCCCCGTATAGACGTTCTACAGATCTGTTGGAGCGAGTGATGTTCGCGGTGGCTCGGTGTGGTCATAAAAACCACGCCGGAGCCGCCCTTCGTCTCCCAAGTGCCGATGTTTTACACGCGGCATCGGGTACTCGTGTTATCGGCTCAGAGAGTTATCGTCACCGATGTTAGCTGTGAGCGGGAATCGAACTCGGGTCCGCCGGGTGGTTCGTAGCGCAGCGCGCTAACCGGCGCGCCACCACTCCCCATCCACCATCAAATACAAAGATAAAGATCCCCCCGTACAGCCTGAACAGACTGCTGGGGCAAGTGCTGTTAACGAGCACCTATAAGGACCGGTAAAGCACACGAGGGGGTGGGTGGCCAACACCACGCCCGGCCGCCTTTGTTTCCCCCAGTGGCGATGTTTACGCACCGCACTTGGTACTCATTTGAGGCTGAGCCGACCTAGCGGAGGCCCAGGACCGGTTCCGATAATCGTCACTGGTGTTGGCCGTGAGCAGGAATCGAACTCAGGTTCGCCGAATGGTTCGTGGCGCTGCGCGAACAATCGAATGCACACACACACATACACGTACGCACGCCTCCAAGTCACGTGTCGTCGTAAAACGAGACAATGAATGTACGTGACCGAGGGTTGTTCCTATCGACACATTCTTTCCCCATGCAGGTTGTAATTTAGTTTTGAGTCACGGCAATTGGCTTGCCGCGTGTTTATCCTGAGCGTGCAGTTTTGCATTCGTGCATATTTGTCGCTTTTAAACTTGAACGGGTAAAACCAAATCAGAGCCAACACCACCAAAGCTCTGATGCACAGATTTGTTTTTTTGTTTGTTTGTTAAAATCACCCAGCAGTGTTGACCATGAATTAGTACATCGTAATGCCAATTCTTTTCAGCCCTTTTGTTGATTCACCGTCGGATGAAGGCCTCTCCATGCCGTGTCGGTTGTGCGCTGTTGCTTGACCATACTTCACCACGCCGGTCAGTGCAGTTTGGTGAAGGAGGCGGTTGGGATTGGATATCGCTCGCCACTGATATTTTAGCTGTGGCTGAGAATCGAACTCCGATTATTGGGTTCAACATATATGTAACTAAAGTTAGCCTACCAAATATAATAACGCAAATAAACGCTGATGTTTACCCATCGGCTGAGTCAACATAGGGGAGGCTCAGGATCGGTTCAAATAGTCGCCACTCTTATTGCTCGTGAGCGACAGACGAAGTCGGGTCGCTGGGATTGGTTTGAGCAGCGCGCTAACCACTGCGCCATCGCTCCCCATATCGCATTACACACATTACACATACTCATATGCAGAGCTCCATTGGTCAACTCCATCCGTAGGCGAGGCTGGCATCATGACGTCATAACGTGAGTGGCAGAATTAAGGAAGAGGAGGATGGTGTCCGGACGCGACCCACCAGTTCGGCGATGGTGGAGGCGAACCCCGAGGCGATGGGGTTGGTGATGGCGCACGTCCCGTCTCCACGCGTCACTCCCAGCGCCAGAGTCACAGCGAGCACGAGTGAGAGGCCAGCGAACTACAAAGACACACACCAGAGACAGAGACACACACCAGAGACAAAGATGTAAAGATACCCTGCGCACAAGTGGAGAGTGCACGTACAGACTCTCTCGCCTGTGCGCGACTCTACTTATGAACACCGCACCATGAATCCTGCAACTTCACACTGCCCCAAATACAAATGTGGAGGCGTGGGTGAGTGAATTCGTGGGTTAGTGAGTTCGTGGGTGGGTTGATGGATGAGTGCATGAGTGATCGGGTGGGTGGGTGTATTTGCAATGCACCAACTTTCAAGCTAAGCAACTGAATGTCTAAATCACTTGGAATAGGCATCTCGAATAGCGTGCCCTTTATTGGCCCACACGAGATCACAAGCGGTTGGTTCTGGTGCCTCGTCTCTGGAAGCCCTGGGGCATAGCCACGGGTACAACCACCAGGAGCAGCCATTCGCGTAACTGGCGTTGGGGCAGGGGGGTGGCTTGATAGCCAAAGCGACGAGTTAAGGCCCCCTTGACAACAACCATGAGATATGTTTTCAATAACAGTGCAATAGAACAAAACACGTATTTAAAACGCGGTTAATTGTTTTTTTTTTTTATAGAGCTGTAGTGGCTTGCATTTTCTTCGAAGACGGAGACTCCCCCCCCCCCCATAGCGTTAAATGTTCGAGACCGTGAGCGTATCGACGATGTGGTTCAGGTAAGAGGAACCGCGATACGTATGAGCCTCGAGGGCGCGACCGTGCGAGACAAATCATAATATTTGGGCCTCCACCTGACCGATTGCCGCACCCCCCTGAGCTGATAGTCTTGTCGACTTCGCCACTGAGTGTAGCGGCGGCAGCCATGCGCCCATGATCGCAACCCTCCCCGTCACGTTCCTTCGGTCGGCGAAAATGTTACCTAACGCGGGGCCCTCCTCTTGGGTGCGCTGACGTTTATAATGATGGTGTGCGACTTAGCGATTTGGTTTAAGCGCTGTTTACCCGGTCTCCCTGACACTCCGCCACCGATCGTGCACAGGATGGGGGGTAGCGTGAATTTCGTTTTTGTTTAAAAATCCTTCTCGACCGGCGGACTAAAAAGGAAATTATTTTTTTATCCTTCTCGAGGATAAAAAAATAGTTCACGTTTTACTCGACCGGCCACTAAAACGTGTTCTCTGCGGGTGATGTCATCGTGAGCACTTAACGGGGAGGGCGGCGGCGGTGGTGATGATGGAGGAAACGCGCTCTGAATATCTCGACATTGACCGCGATCAATCGATGCGCGGTGATGCGCGTGCATCGCCGGCTGCATTTCGGCCACTGAAGAGCCGGGCGTCTGCTATGCGTACACGATGTTCATGCGCTTCCAGTCAGGTTCGTGAGGTGCACACCAAAAAAAATAGACGCAAAGGTGCAGCCCTGAAATTGCTTGCTCGCGTCACGACTGAGTGCCCCCACTTCAGAGGCGAGAGTGCAAATCACTTTACCCCCCAAGCACTGCGCGAACTGCTGATCGACTAACCGTGTCGTACCGATGTTAACTGTTGGGTGGACATAGGCAAAGGGGATTTGAGACACACGATGTGAGACAAATATGCAACTCAAGCGTCGTAATCGTCGCAGCCAAAATGGACGTGCATTCTTAAGCGTGCTTCATTTTTTTCCCACATGTTATATTCCACCCGGAAGACCCCCTTTGGGATGTACGGAGCGACATCTCGAACGCAAAATGTCCAGGGTGCCGATTTGGCACTGAAACGTAGCGAGGCACCGCACGCGAAGCGTCCCTTTGGCAAGGGAGGTTCTGCAGGGGGACTTACATACTTGGCACGCAGACACGACGAACGCGCAAAGACCAACATCGCCCACCCCCCCCCCCCCCCCCAGTGCTGATGTTTACACACTGCCAGCAGGTGCTGCTCATCGCGTAAGGCGGAGTCACACGTTGCGTTTTAGAACAGAAGCGATGGGAGGAAAGAAACGAAAACAAACACATTTCTTAGAAGCGACACGGGAGCGAGAGAGGTTTTTTTTTTTTGCGACTCGGACGCAATCGGAAACTTGAGACGGTTTAGCCGTCGTCGGATTCGTGGCCACCACGCACAAAGCAAGGGTTTGCTGTGGAGGCTACTGCCATGGGACACGTGGTGCCCGGCGGTGCAGGGAAATCAACTGTTGTACGGTACAACTGTTGTACGGAGGAATCCGGTGAGCTACAAAGCTCTCGTTCACAGATGTCCAAATGTGGTCAAATAACCGGGCCGTGGTTCTGCACGGCGTGGGTTGAGGCGGGGGGGGGGGGGGGGGCCCACCGCCCGCCCCTTCCTATCCAGCAGTGGATTGCACATGTACTCAATCAGAATCAGAATAACGCACTCGTGCTGGAGGAATCCGATGAGCTACAAGGCTCCCTGCTCACAGATGTCCAGTATCGTGGGAGTTGTCCCTGGTGGACAAGGGAATGGTGGTCACTCCCGGGTCGGTCACAATGTGCGCGTACGTTGTGTTTGCACCTCTTTCGCACCGGCGCGTCGCCGGCCGTGCTACATCGGAGGTGCGGTCGACTCGCGTTCGTCCGTCCGCCTTTCTCTCTCTCTCTCTCTCGCTCCCTCGCTCGCTCGTAATTGCCGCTCACATGAATGTTTAATGGGCGACTGTGGGCGATCGCTGCTCAATCTCCTCCCTGCCCCCCCCCTCCCACCACGCTTGGACCGCCGCTAAGAATAACATCATCACCCCGTCGGCGGCGATTATAAACCAACTGCGAGTGGGGGCTGGAAGTGCTGGTGCCGTCCCATTGGGGAGTTGTGGGGGGGGGGGGGCACCTAAAGAGACATCATATTGTACCCCCTCCCTACCCACAGCCACAATCCCTGCCCCCCCCACCCCCACCGGCCTCTTTCGATAAACTCCTCTTGAGATGGCAGAAGAGTCGCGCGAGAGAGATGGAGACGAGTTAGAGATGGAATTCGTTGCTTACCGCGACTTTGTAGCCATGGAGCCACTGATGCCAGGTTGGTAGCAGTTGGGCACGTGCGTCTGTGCTACGCGTGTGCGCAAAGACAAAGATCACCCGCATTGACTTAGACTGTTGGGGCAAGTGCTGTTACTATACACCTATGAAGGCCGGCGTTGCACACGGGGGTTAGTGGCGAGTACCACGCCCGGCCGCCTTTGTCCCCCCAGTGCTGATGTTTACCACACCGCACCAGGTACTCATTGTTGAGGCTAAGTCGACCTAGGCGAGCCCCCGGGACCGAGTCAGATAACCGTCACTGGTGTTGGCCGTGAGCGGGAGTCGAACTCGGGCTGCCGGGGTTGTTCGCATCGCGCTACCGCTCCCACTCAGACGTACACATCATACACAGACACACACACACACACGTGTCCACGTACACACACCCCATTCACACAGGTTCCATCTACGCTTCACAGCGAACGCTTTGAATATCACACGACGGATCGTAATCCCCAAGTCAAAGAAGCAAACGTCAAATGTAATCTCTCGCTGGCGGATGGCATCGTCTATGCTTCTCCCGACCTCTCCCCCGCAGCTTCTGCTTCGGTTGTCCTGATAATAACAGCCTTGACTCTCGGTTTGTTTACTTGGACCGGTGAAGACTCTGCTTATACGGGTCCCGGGAGAGTGATTTACAGCTCCACAATTAAGTCTGTGGCCTGGGGAAGTGTCATTCACCACTTAAATTGTGTTTAAATGAAAGGGGGGGGGGGGGGGTGGAGGTAGGGGATTGGAGGGAGTAACAGGCAATAGTATTATAAAGATCAGAGGAAAGTTTGCGATGGAGAGCTGAGCTGCAGCAGTAATTTGGCCGTTCTGCTGCTGTTGTTGTTTTAGTTAAACGGAGCCCATAGGCTGCCGCTTATTGCTGTGTCTGGGAAATCGCCTTTCCCATCCGTCCGTAGACACAATGCGCGGTTTCCAGGAAAACTGCAATCACGCCAATGCGAATCGCTACGAAAGAGGTAGTGATTGCACCTCCGATTAGCGCGGTTGGCTTACGTACAGGTGCGAAAGAAGCGTAACACACATACACACCGACATACATAGGAAACTCGTGTTCGGGAACGATTAGCTATGAAATCGCGCATTGGAAAATGTTTGTGTATGTATATTTTTTTGAACTCAATTAACATTGAGGGAGCCAGGTGGCTCTTGAGAGTTCACCATGGGGAGCTGCCACACCTGGGATCCGGCGTTCTAATGCAGTGTTCATTACTCGATTGTCAGCTGGAGCGAGTGATTTCTCTTGTTCTATGCTGACGTACCACGGATCTACCGTGCAAGCTATCTGGGTAACTGGCTAAAATTGGACTTTCCATGGAACAAATAAACATTGATTGATGATTGATTGATTGATAATGGTCTCAACACAGTCATCGCTGACCGCACACGCACACAAAATAATGCCAAGTCAAATTTGATTCTGCACTTAATTTGGATATATTTCAGCTGTTGGAAATGAGATGATGAACATTCTATTTAACTTTTGTCGTGCTGTGACGAAGATCACTCTCATATGGCAGAGCGGGGTGGGAAAGTGCTGCCCTCTATCGAGCCGGCCAGAGGTCACGTGGACGGATCTCAGATGTAGCTCCGTAATATCTGCTTCCGTGGGCCGTCGTCTAACGTGCTGCTGTGCGAGATGTCCACACGAATTCCTCGTCTCTTGACGTGAAGTCAACTGCACAATTTACATCATTTTCATTTTTGGGCGGGGGGGGGGGGGCATCAGAAATGACAAATAAAAAAATTAACCGCTCCCAAAATAAAAACGTAACTCACTCAAATATAGGAGTGGTTAAATGTTTTGGTAAAAAAAACACCTTCTTGAGATATACGGTAATCTTCATTTTTGTTTTTTAAATCCGTTCATTCTTGGAGTAACCACCGCTTTTGAAGAAGCTCCACACCTTTGCTCCCAGGCTTGAGATGTTAAAAAACCCGTCAAATTGTAAGCCTTGCACATCTCATTATCCGAGAGCTGAGTGGTCAGCAAAATCCACCATCA